GACGGAAAACTTTTACCAGCTTTACATGGGGCAAGAAAAGTCAAGAGAGTACCAGTAATTATCATGTATGATTGCCATCATTCCACGTAACAGTGGGAATGATCAAACCTCTGTGGTATATGACTCATTAGAAGAATGGTGCAACAAAGTTCAAGCACTTTGCTATGACACTACATATTTCAACTTACGCTGGACGTTTCCAAGGAGTTTGCGTTCTACTGGAACACAAATTAAACAGGGATATCATATATTTACTCCATAGGCATCGTATATGTGAAATTATTATACAGAATGTATTTAACGGAAAACTATCAAAATCTTTGGCTGCCAGTGCTCCGCTATACAACAAGTTTCAAGAAACATAACCAAAAATTGATAAATTGAGATTTGTATCCGGAATTGGAAATAAATATGTCCATCAAACAATTCAAACTACAGTAGTTCAAGAAATGATGCAATTTTCAACAAATATCCTATAAAATGAGCAACAGCCACGAGAAGATTATAAAGAAATTCTTGAACTTGGTATTATTTTCATAGATGGAACCCCACCAAAAAATATAAGTTTTCGAGCTCCAGGAGCTTTTCATCACGCTCGATGGATGGCGAAAGCTTTGTATTGCTTGAAAATGTATTCATTCAAGGAACAATTTAATTTAAGTGATGAAGAAGAAAGTGGAATTAGAGGTATTTGTATCTTTCTCGCAAAAGTTTATTTAATAACATGGATTAAATGTTCAACGACGATGGAAGCTTCACACCACGGTTTGGAATTCGTTACAGAATCTCATACGTTTCATTAGATTGGTGAAGAAGTAAGCAAAGCAGAAATAAAGAAATTTTTCAACCACTTGTGGTTCTTAGCATCGGAAGCATTAGCATAATCTTTTTTTGATAACAAAGTCGAAAAGCACAGTAATTTATGAGTGCTGGATGCGATGTATCAACGAGGCCAGGATGACTTAGCAAAAGTAACTGAAAAATGGTACTGAGAATAAAAAATTATATTAACAAGGATTAGACCATTTCGTTTTACACGAGGCCACAAGTTTTTGAAGGGAATTTCCATGTCAACTGATTTTAAGCAAAGATCCTGACACGTGGGAAGATGAGACGTTATAATGACAATGCTAAACGTGAAGTTTGAACTTATGGAGAATACAATTAATTATATCCAGAAATGAGGAAGAAAAACAATTTTATATAATAAATAATTTCGGAAAAACCGAAAAACAATTTTCCTAAATGTGTAAAACATATTAATGACAGACATTTTAACACAGAAGAATAAGCTTTTTTCACTCTTCTAAATATTCCTTTAATGCTTTAGAATTGCTTTTTTTATGTATTTTTCTACTAGAAATAGACCGTATAAATAGAAAATAGGTAAATTCTCTAAAACTATCATGTATTTGTGAATATCAAAATTGTTCGAACAAAAATTTTGATGAATCAAATGTAAAGGAAAAATGTTTTTCAAGTCAATGTTTGAATTTCAGTTCGTATTTATTGCAGTGATATATTTTTGTCTATATTTTCATACACGTAAAAAGACGAATCAGCGATATATGTAAAAACTGTATACAAAAACTGTGCTAATTAAAACGGAGAAATACGAATTACGAAAAATAAAAAATTTCAATTTTGATGTGAGCCTTCTCGTTGTCCGATCCAATTTCAGATATAGTGTGGGTTACTTTGCCTCTAATGGTATAATCCAAAGGAGTGTCCACAAAAATTCCAATGTTTAAAAATAGGTGTTGAAACACAGACAACGTATTGTGTAAACCTGAAAATTCAGAGGTTTAGCGTCCTCTTCGAATTAGTATTGATGGGCAGACAGTTGTAGTATATGCGTAACTATATATGAATTGACTGTGGGAGGGATTGAAAAAGGCAATCCAGTACAATAGTGCCCATATAAATGACCAAGCTCAGGACCGGCCTCGGTCATTTATGTGGGCATGGTTAGTTCTCAAGATTCAACGGAGATAAGGAAAGAGGATAAGTGCGAGTGAGATACAATAGCTGGCAGCCGAAACCATATATACAATGTATGGATAACGTCCGGCATCAAGTTGCACTCGACACGCTCGATGTTCGAAGCCGCTAGGCTTCTAAGAATTGATGGGGATAACTCTGGTCATTTATGTGAGCAAACATCCATTCACTTATGTGGGCACTATTGTATTATCAAATGGCAGGTCGGTGCCCAAAGGAAACTGCCCTTCTACTGTCACGCAATAATGCATAGACACCTTGTATATGAGTGTTCTGGCGCTTCGCATAGCTTCAGGGATTCGAGGAGGAAGGCGAATATAAATCTTTCCCCTTCTTGCTCTCAACACAGCTGAAATTCGACCTCGCATCACCGGCATGCGATTTCGAACTTTGACTGCCTAGACATTTTTACTTTCCAACCTATATACGTATAAAGTGACATAATAAAAAAAGTTTCAAAATTTTTTACGGAAATGCACCTTTTAAGACCCCCTGATCATATGTTAAGTATTTAAAAAAAAGACATTTGTTTTACTATGCTTATGGACGTGCGTTCATATAGTATCTACACTATTAATACGATTGAGTCTCAACAACAAAATAAATTTCAATGTAATTTTACATTTAAGTTTTATGTTTTCATTTCAAGGTTTGATTAGACTTTGAACATAATTATTGAATATATCTTTTATAGCTTTTTAGTTATTCCGATACATATACGTTTTTTGTAAAAAAATTTTAAAAATATTTTGTAATATCTTACGAAGGATTAAGTAAGAACCAACAAATTAAAATTTATTTATTTATTTAATAATAATATAATAATGTACAAAAAGAAAGAGTAGATATTGACGAGCAATGTAGACAATATAACTATAACAAGAAATATACAAATTAAAGTATATTTGTTAAAAGCTGAGGGTTTTAACCAGGGCCCGGGCGAGAGAATAGACGGATAGAGAGTTTTGACAAGTTCTAATTAAGCTTTTCGCTTAATTTCGTATAACTCCATTGTGCACCTGTTAAAAATTTCAAAACAAGCAATTTCAAGAATCATTCCAAAAGTATGCGAAGCTCTCATTGATGTACTTTATGTAATAGTAATTATTATTGGATCACGTTACTTATATGAAATAATTTATCATATGTTTGGTATTACTTTATTACCGTTATTTACAATTTAATACATTATTTAATACATTTTATCATGTGTTTCTGAAATATTACAATTGTATACTTCTAATGGTTTGTCATTTTATAGTATTTGCATGGAGGAAGTGATTTTCCATTTTTTGAAAATAACACTATCCATTGTGTTTGTTGCCACAGATTGAGCAATTCGATTCTTGATCCTGCCTGTTCTGCTTGCATTCACTTGCATAATGACCAGTGCTTTTGCATTTTTAGCATTTCACGTTCCTTTTACTTGATTCATTTTTATTATTGTTGTTGTTTTGATTTTGCTGTATTCCTTTATAATTGTTGTTGTTCTTGTCAGTGGTTACCTCGGAAGCTACTTTGTTTCCATCATCTCTCCCCTTCAATTTTTCTTCTTCCACAATGAGTCTGGATTTCAGGTTTTCAATATTCTTTTCTTCTTTCGACGCAGGATCACAAGCACTAGAGAAATGTTTGTATTCTTCAGGCAGTGCTAGTATTATTCTTGTCATCAACATGGTCATGTATAGTTATACTTAGTCCATTCAGATGAAAAGCCAAGTTTTGAGTAACTATTGTTATTATACCATCAAATATCGGACTAAATTGAGGATTTGATATTTCCGTCTGGGACGCGAAGAAGTTTAACATTTCTTAATTGAGTATCTTATCGATCATCTTTTAGATTTCGTTGGGTTTGGACTTTGTTCCAGCTGCCCAAAACTTGTCGCTATCAAATTGTGGTTGCAAATTACAACTGTTAGAGTCTAAGGGTTCTAACCGGGGTCTGGACGAGGGAAATGTCAGGGAAGGATTAGTTGACAAGTTTTATTTGTATTTTCGTTTGTCACGTAGGAACAACCCGTTTATTTTACAAATATTAAAAAATAAAAAATATAAAAAGAAATATATTTTATATTATTTTTCGGCCAGGGTGATCGGCCTCACCGGCTCTGCCCAGGCTGTGGCGGCCCTTGAATTCTGAAACAAAGGTTCGACCAAATTAAATATGCGCGTACACGTATTGTAACCACACGCTTGTCAGCTGTTCGCCTCGCTCTCCTAGCGACTATCGGTGCGCTTGGAGGGGGAAATCAGCTGTCGTTTAGCGTAGTTCAGTGGACTGTATTTATTTGTTGCTCGCTGATAGTTATTATTTGAACTATCAACGTGACTTTGGCCCTGAACACATGAGAATTTACTCGTATCTGTCGGGGGCTCTGTTTCGCCAAGGACGGGTCACCAAATGGAGGTCGTAAGGCTCCAAGTGGATGGATTCCGTGAGCACGCTCACCGTGCGGGATTTTCTTTTTGTCGTAGGGAAAATCTTCGAAAGACTCCCTCCCACCTCTTTGGGGAGAGGCGGGAGGGGTGTGTGGGATTCCCCGCGCCCATTATAACTGGCGCGGGACCTACCCACTAAAAACCCCACGGTGACCCTTCCGCACGATTTGGGAGGATACCGGGAATCGCTCGAAGCATACTTCCGGTATCCTCCCCGTGCCCGCGCTTTGCGCCCACCCGCGGGGGGACAAACGGTCCCCCCGGCAATCGCCCTGTCTCATAGCGGCAGGACGAGGCCACTTCGTCCTGCCGCCATCCGTCCCGGGGCCGCGTCTAGTGGCGGGTGCGAGCCCCAACTCGCAACCGCCCGCGACCCCGTTTCTACCCCTCGGCGACCGGCAGCCAATGGCCGCACCAGGCCACCGAGGGTGCCGGACCCGGACAGGAACGACCACCGCCCTTGCTGAACCACAAGGGCGAATCGGCATTCGCATCCATACCAAACAGCACACACCTGCCTCTCGTGAAATTCCGCACCCCATCCATATAAGCCAAATATGGCTCGATATCCTGCCCATACCGGCAGTACATCGACACAACATACATCTCCCCAAAATCTCCTTTCAACCAGACACAAACACCCCACTCATTCGTGCACTCTCTCACACACATAACCTCCAGTCGCGCATCATTCACAACCACAGCAGCTTTAACCACTGCACCCTCACACACATACACATCCATACCAAGCGGCAAACCTCTCACCCTTCCATCCAGAATATAGGGCTCCTGCAACAATGCAACACTCACACCACGCTCACTGACAACCTTACCCAGATCACACATTACCGCATACGCTCTCTGACAATTACACTGAACTATATTCAACCGCGTATTAGCCATTGCTAATACTTTGCTTTTCCCTACTCAGCATTCGCACATACTCCGGACATTCCTCAGACACAACCGCGTGGTCACACACCATACCCCTAACCTTACAATTACGGCACACCACATCCTTCTTACAATTACCCCTCAAATGCCCAGCCTCACCACACCGTTGGCACAATCTCTCACTCATACTACACTCACGCATCATATGCCCAAATGCATAACACTTATGGCACCTCAACACATTCAAATACTCCCTCACCTTAAACGCATACCAATTCACATACATACGTCCTTCTTTACACAACATATCTCTCACCTTCCCAGTCACCTCCATAATCACATTACCAACACTCGCATTCTTCTTATTCATCCTACTCAAAATTCTCACACGCTCCCTAAATTCACTCTCACTAACACTACCTTTGACATTCTTCTCATACATCTCATTCACAAGCTCCTGACTCGCCATCTCATTCGGCACATCGTACACAATTACCTTGGGACCAATCTTCCTAGGCAACTCCACTTTCAACCCAATCTCTTCAAACTTCTTACACTCACACACCGATTTCAAATCGCTCTTACTCGCCGTCTCGATCGCAATACCACCCGCCCGTATCTTCCTCACCGCTTTCACACGCACATTCAACACACTGCTCACCTCACGCATCACTTTCTCCTTCACTTGCTCACTCGTCACTTTCATAGCTGCATCCTTAGGCCTCACGACCACCGCATACGACCTCGTCTTCGGCTGCACACTCTCTAATTTATTCACACTCGGTACACCAGTCACGCCAGCCCCAGCAACACTCGCATAACTCACACCACTCCTCGAACTCATCCCACTCATCCCCATGCTCATAAACTTTTCACACTCATCCAACCTTCCTTGCAACTTCTCATTCTTATTCATCAGCCTAATCAATTGCTCCTCATATTCACTCACAGCACTCAAAATAACCTGACTCGCAGCCTTAGAAACTTTATTCGATTCGATAAACACGAACTTCCGCAGCCTCAACCCAATCATTCTCATTCTCGCAACATCATCATCCACTTCCTCGTTCAAACATTCCACACCCCCTTCCTTAACATCCTTTCCTTCCTTCACCCGCTTCCCCAACACCGGACTCCTCTCCCCACTACATACTGAAGAGGCCCTGGACCTGGCATAACCAGATACAGGTGCCCCCATCTCCACATCCACACACTCCTCTCTCCGACTCTCCTTCTCGTCATTACCCCCCTTAACCCCAGTTGAACACGAATCCATAGAATTCCCACGAGCAGGGACGAACTAAAAGTCACTTCCCGGGTGACGCCCTTCCCGAGAAGAAGGCTCGATACTCAGGAGATCGCCAGGTGTCCTGAGGTGACCGCTAGGGATTGAAGCTACCCCTCCAATCATGCATCCCATCACCGCGCATCATAGCTTGGGATTCGGGGGTAATTTACAGAGTTACCATCCTCGCGGCCCAGGCGGTTAAGCCAAGGCCCCCGGCCCGACCTGCCGTCGCGTACCATTCACAAAACCCAAAAAGGAATTGCGAATGGGTCGTCGCGACGACCAACAGGGGGTTACGGTGTATGTATGACTCAGGTACCCCGGGTTCGTTAAGCCCGTACTGCAGCTGAATGGCTGACAGCCCCTGGGGGGCGGTTTGTTTGCGACAGAATAGCCGTGGGTTTCCCGTGTGTTTCCTGCCTACCACAGGCCCTACACACACGGCCCCCACGGGCGCGGGATTGGGATACGCCCAATCAGCGCGTCCCCGTCTGGACGAGGACTACCAGTACGCCGTCGGGATGTAGGGCCCGACGACAAGTCACTGGTGGGGCCGAGCGCCTTCCCTCGCTCTACCGACATAGCAGGTCGGTGCCCGAGCTGTATCCGCAGCTCCCCCGTCGAAGGCCAAGAATGGGCCCTCTAGCCAGCATGTAGCTATCAACCACTGCCCCCGCGATGGTCCTTCCCATGACCGGGCCCGAGGCACTCCTCGGTGGGCCCCCGGTCCCCGCGGTACCAGTCTAGATCACTGGTCGGATCTTCGTGGCATGCCACTACCGATTGGTGACCCTACAATCACCGGCATCGGTCGGCCAGCGCCTCAGGTACGTGGAGACGCCACCCTCCAAAGAGTCCTACAGGAATCAACCACTAGGGTCTTTGACCTGCAGGACCCCCCCCCTGCGACCACAGGACACCCCACACACAATCACGCATTCCTTCTCATTCGCACTCTCCTTGCAAACACATCCATCACAAACTTACAAAATCTTTCGTACGTTTCCTTGCATTCCAACACACCACTCACATACCCAGATCACACATTACCGCATACGCTCTGACAACCACACTGAACCATATAGAACCGCGTATTAGCCATTGCTAATTCTTTGCTTCTCCCTACTCAGCATTCTCAAATACTCCGGACATTCCTCAGACACAACCGCGTGGTCACACACCATACCCCTAACCTTACAATTACGGCATACCACATCCTTCTTACAATTACCTCTCAAATGGCCAGCCTCACCACACCGCTGGCACAATCTCTCACTCATACTACACTCACGCATCATATGCCCAAATGCATAACACTTATGGCACCTCAACACATTCAAATACTCCCTCACCTTAAACGCATACCAATTCGCATACATACGTCCTTCTTTACACAAGATGTCTCTCACTTTCCCACTCACCTCCATAATCACATTACCAACGCTCGCATTCTTCTTATTCATTCTACTCAAAATTCTCACACGCTCCCTAAATTCACTCTCACTAACACTACCTTTGACATTCTTCTCATACATCTCATTCACAAGCTCCTGACTCGCCATCTCATTCGGCACATCGTACACAATTACCTTGGGACCAATCTTCCTAGGCAACTCCACTTTCAACCCAATCTCTTCAAACTTCTTACACTCACACACCGATTTCAAATCGCTCTTACTCGCCGTCTCGATCGCAATACCACCCGCCCGTATCTTCCTCACCGCTTTCACACGCACATTCAAAACACTGCTGACCTCACGCATCACTTTCTCCTTCACTTGCTCACTCGTCACTTTCATCGCTGCATCCTTAGGCCTCACGACCACCGCATACGACCTCGTCTTCGGCTGCACACTCTCTAATTTATTCATACTCGGTACACCAGTCACACCAGTCACGCCAGCCCCAGCAACACTCGCATAACTCGCACCACTCCTCGAACTCATTCCACTCATCCCCATACTCATAAATTTTTCACACTCATCCAACCTTCCTTGCAACTTCTCATTCTTATCCATCAGCCTAATCAATTGCTCCTCATATTCACTCACAGCACTTAAAATAACTTGACTCGCAGCCTTCGAAACTTTATTCGATTCTATAAACACGAACTTCCGCAGCCTCAACCCAATCATTCTCATTTTCGCAACATCATCATCCACTTCCTCATTCAAGCATTCCACTCCTCCTTCCTTAACATCCCTTCCATCCTTCAACCGCCTCCCCAACACCGGACTCCTCTCCCCACTACACACTGAAGAGGCCCTGGACCTGGCATAACCAGATACAGGTGCCCCCATCTCCACATCCACACACTCCTCTCTCCGACTCTCCTTCTCGTCATTACCCCCCTTAACCCCAGTTAAATACGAATCCATAGAATTCCCACGAGCAGGGACGAACTAAAAGTCACTTCCCGGGTGACGCCCTTCCCGAGAAGGAGGCTCGATACTCAGCAGATCGCCAGGTGTCCTGAGGTGACCGCTAGGGATTGAAGCTACCCCTCCAATCATGCATCCCATCACCGCGCATCATAGCTTGGGATTCGGGGGTAATTTACAGAGTTACCATCCTCGCGGCCCAGGCGGTTAAGCCAAGGCCCCCGGCCCGACCTGCCGTCGCGTACCATTCACAAAACCCAAAAAGGAATTGCGAATGGGTCGTCGCGACGACCAACAGGGGGTTACGGTGTATGTATGACTCAGGTACCCCGGGTTCGTTAAGCCCGTACTGCAGCTGAATGGCTGACAGCCCCTGGGGAGAACACAACAAGACAATCAGAACGTCCATCAATCAAGGTTTATCAATCAAATCGAACTAGTCATTTTAAAATTAATTTATTAAAATAACGCGCCGCGGCGGCCGCGAAACCGTAAGGTGAACTGGGGAGTTACGAACCCGAGTAAGGAAAAAATCCGCGCGGTCACGAGTGGCGAGGTCGCGATCACGGTCGGGTCGCGACAGCAGTTGCCCAATCAAATAATTTTTGTGGTGTCGTTATCTGGTCTTCCAACGATCTTTATAAACTAGCTTGAGCAGCAAGGCGTTTTAAAGAACCACCAATACCATCGTATGCATTTTTGCCATGCGATGTTGCAAAGTGTTGTAGAGGTTAAGGCGTAATCAAACACAAACACAAATACAACGAAAGATATATATTATGAAACATAAAGACCATACATATCGAAATTAGAAATTACACACCAAAAGAATTACTCGTAACGTTCCCGGACGGACCGTCAGGCGCGCTACACACACGCACATCAAAAAAACCCAACCGGCGTGCAGCCACTCCTGCCAACGCACCATGGCTGCCAACTTATTTCTCCAACATTCCCCCCTCATGGCTGCATGTCGGTTTCACAAAAAATACAGACCTAAGTTATTGCTATGTTTAACTATCTTTTCCTTGCTCAGACCTTTCGTCAACAAATCCGCTGTTAAATGTTCCGATCTTACATGTTTCAATTCGATATTATTATTTAATACTTCCTGGTTGATAAAATGATATTTTCTATTTATGTGCCGGGTTCTATTGGTTACCTTACTTCTCATTACCCATTCCATTGCAGCTCTACTATCTGTTTCTAATATTTTTCCACACTCTTGCACTCGTATTCCTAGATTTTCTAATAGTCCTTGTACCCAACTTAATCCATACTTTTGGAGAACCTCTCCAATATACTCCTCTTGCGACAACTCTACCCCTTCTCCGCCTTCTCGTATTTGAATATTTAAAAATCTCTTTTCTTTTATTTCTTTTAATTCAAAATATTTTTCCAGCTTCCGCATTTCTTCATTGATCGCATCCTCGCTTGTTTCTATCATCAGGCAGTCGTCTACGTATAGGCGATATACCATTATTACGACCCTGCCCCGATTCCTTTGGATATATACACACGGATCCTCTTCAATCCTTTTCCACCCCTCTTTGAGTAACGTATCATTTATCCTCTTGTTCCAATAGTGTCCCGATTGCGGGAGTCCATATATACTCTTCTTCAACCGGCATACTTTCCCTGACTCTTCCTCAAATCCCGGCGGTTGCTCCATATACACTACCTCCTCTAACTGACCATACAGATACGCGGACCTCACATCGTACTGCTTAATTTTTAGGTCCTGCATGGCTGCTATCGCTAACAATGCTCTTGCACTGTCCAATTTTAGTACTGGAGCAAAAGACTCCTTATAATGTATCCCTGGCTTCTGGTTGCACCCTACGGCTACCAACCGAGCCTTATACTCTACCTTCTTTCCATTCTTTTCTCTTTTTGTTGTGAATACCCATCTGCTCCTTACTGGCTTCACTCCCTCTATTCTGGGTACTAGATCCCAGACCTCATGTCTTTCCATATTTGCTAATTCATTTTCCATCGCATGAACCCATTCTCTTTTGTTGTCTCCTTCCAAGGCATCCTTGTAGTTATTAGGTACAGACTCGTTTTGGATCGTTAGATTCGCTTTCTGTAATTTCTCTTGTATTCTCCTAGACCTTCTTGCTCCTTCCTCTCGAAGCCTTCTCTCTCGGTCCTCCTTAGCCTGTAACATTGCCACCTGTTTTTCAGCGTTTGTTCTTCTTCCCTTCCGTCCTTCTTGAGCTGGCTCTGCCACCTGCCCAAACGTCTCCTCTTCCTGTGGCAGATCTCCTTGTTCGTTCATGCCCTCTTTCTCCGTTTGCACTTCCTCTTCAAGACCATCTAATCGCTCGTGCACTCCTATTCCTATCCCGCCAATTGATATTTCTATTCCCTTATCTTCCTGCTTCTCCAGCATTTCAGAGCCTTTTGCCTCCTCATTGAATTTTACTGTTCTGGCTACCTTTATTTTTCCATCTCTGTGATCATATATCCTGTACCCCTTTGTTCCTTCTGCGTATCCGACTGCGTATTCTGAATATCCCTTTCTCGGCAACTGGTTCCATTTTCTTTCTATTCACTTTTGGAACGTAATAGTACGCCAAACATCCCAAAAGTTTTTAAATAAGACGTCGATGGTTGATGTCCATTCCATTTCTCTTGGGGTGTCTTGTCTGTACACTCGCGCGTTATCGTTATATTTTTTAAATATGCCGCCGTTATTGCTGCTTCCGCCCAAAATTCTCCCGGTAGCTTCGCATCTATCAGCATTGTTCTAGTCCTCTCTATTATACTCCTATTTGCTCGCTCGGCCACCCCATTGCTTTGCGGGTTATATGGTATAGTCTTTTGATGATCAATCCCCATCTTGCTAAAGAATTCCTTGAACCGGCTATTTACGAATTCTCTTTCATTATCCGATCGAACCTTCTTTACTTTGGCTCCTAATTCCTTTTCACATCTCCTAACATATTCCGTGAAATATTCATACGTTTCTGCCTTGTTTGCCATGGGGTAAACCTTAACATATTTGCTATATTCATCAACTATCACAAATACCTGGATCCTCCTAGTGATTGTACTGGCATTGGTCCACATACATCAATATGTAGGAGTTCCAATGGACCCTTGGCCTGTGCGTGCCATACTCGTGCATGTGGCTGCTGGGTGAGTTTACCCATTGTGCACGGTTCACATAATTCCAACTTTTCTGGTTCAAAATCGAGGTGTCTGACTGAGCCATTAGACTTCATCTTGTCCAAAAACTCTTCGCATATATGCCCTAGCCGTTTATGCCAGCGCATTTTCCAGTTTTCTGATTTCTTCCTTTTTGCTTTTGAATCTTGTTCATTACTCAACAAACAACTATTTCCCGGTTTTGCCGTAAATACAAACATTCCATTTCTCTCTAGTATTTCACTTATCACCTCCCCTGACGAATCAACAACTGTGGCCATGCCATTTTCAAATATCACCTTGTTGCCTTCATTAATTAGTTTACTCACTGATAGTAGGTTGGCTCTTAAACGAGGTACATACAGCACATCCTTAATTCTTATTGTTTCCTCCTGCCCATTTATCCTTTTTACTATTCTTATATCTCCTATCGCTTCTGCTTCCAATGCTCTATCGGTCTCTGCTACATCTATGTTAGTCCGGTATTCCCTAATGTTTGTCATATTCTTGATATTTGGGGTCATGTGAGCAGTTGATCCAGAATCAAGTGTCCACTCTTCCATTTCGTTTTCTTTTCCCATCGTTAATATATAACTACCCTTTTCTCTCACCTGAAATGTACGCTCATTTCTTGGTGCAGTAGCTATATTCCCTTGTTCTCTTCTCATATTAAAAGTTCTACCTCTATAATTAGATCTACTATTACTTGAATTATTGTTGTACTTGCCTCTATTATCTGTTGGCTGTGCGCTTCTCCTATTCCGATAGCAATATTTTGCTATATGTCCTATTTTTCCACACACAAAGCACCCAACGGGTTCTTTGTAATGAGTGTGCTTGGTCATCCTATATGCCTTCTCATCTCTACTATTTCCAGCTGCTTGTCCCTCTGTTTCTCGACCCATTCGACATTCTTCTTCTTCCAAAGCACGTTGAATTTCTTCCAATTTTGGTGATCTTTGAGCCCTAGCACTGTCGCAACTCTTTCATATTTTGTATGCAGTCCTCTTACCAGGTGGTATGTTACTTCTCTATCCTCAATGGGATACACTATACTGGCACTTCTTGACGCAAT